GGTGCTGGGGGCTGAGCATGGGTGCTGGGGGCTGAGCAAGGCAGGGCTATCAGCCAGCCCTGCAGGTGCAGTGAGCACAGCAGGAGCCTCCCTGCAACTCTGCAGCCTGTAAATAAAGGAAATAAAATAATCATCTTGGTTGCAAACACAAAGCATGGGATTTTTTTAGGTGTTTTTTTATTTTTTATTATCATTTTTTCCCCCTGAAAGCATGTTTTTTTGTCTGCTGGTGATGGCTCACTATTCAATTATACTTTGGGGATTGGCATCTATTTCCCATCCTGCCTCTTCTCTCATTTGCATTCTTCCAATAGCTCCTGTCTCTGCTCTCTTCTCCACCTGAAGTCTCTTCCCTCCTTCCTCTGAAGAAGTAAAACTAACCCCTTTGCCTGGGTGACCTATAAAAACGCCTTCACTTCCCCCCCCCCCCTTCTTTTTTTTTATTCCAGTACATATGATGAAAAGCATGAGATCACTGGGATTTTTATAGCCCAATCTGGCAGCTTTTTCAGATAACTTGGATGGTGAGAGGTAATTTTAGTTTGGGTCCTTGCCTAAAAATAAAGAATAATTATTAACACATCAGACATGGATATTGTAAGTGTTCAAAAAGGGTTTCAATTGTTCCAGAGGTACCATCCTGTGTCAGCACAAGGGTCTGTCACAGCTTGGGTCCCATCCCTGCACTGTGCATCCTCAGGAGCTGTTAAGATACCTTGATGTGTGCCAAGAAATAAATCTGAACTGGGTTGTGCTGGGTGATACAGGTGGAAAAAAATAAACCAACCAGAAAAAAGGGCATGTTTGGAAGGTAAGAAATGAACAGGTGAGGTGCTGGAGGCCGAAGCAGGAGGGTGTGTTTTGAGTGTTGTGTTTAGTACCAGCAGTAAGGTGGTGTTGCCTGTGTGTACTAGTGCAGCCTGGTTGTGAGGAGATGTGATGTCTGGTCTTTAGAGGGCTGAAGGGCTTGGGAAAGGCAGACAAAAGCCTCCCTTGCACACCTGGAAGCTTGTTTCTTTCACAGCCACCTCAGCTGGGCTGCTCAGACCTTGCTGAGAGGCTCTGGGGTGCCTGGGTGGTGGAGGTGTGATCCTCTGGGCTGGATGGGTTTGCTGGGAGCAGCTCCAGCAGCACATCCACCCTCCCCAGGAGCTGTGGCTGTGGCCACAAAAGGATGTGCAGGCACCTATTTCATAGCTGGGGGTGTGGGGGGAGCGTTCATCTTCTTGTGGTGGGTTGGAGGACAGGTCTGCAGTACAAAAGAAACACTTTGCTCTGCTGATCTGTCCAAACCTCCTTCCAAAAGAGCTCAGGATGTCCCTTGCAGCCCGGGGAGGACAAGGAGCATGTCACCTTGCCAGGGAGGAGTCCCATTCTTAGCAGCTAATTTGGAGCGCGGGGAAGCGGAGCCCTGAAACCGCCTGAACCTTTGCCTGGAGGCTCAGCAGCTCCCCAGCCCTGCCAACAAATCTAGGTTAGCAGAGAACTTTTGCAGCCCCAGTGCTCTGCTCCCCATCTCTGCCCCAGGATGGTCCTGCCCCAGCAAGGAAGGGTGGTGGTGGGGCTGGGAATGGTGATGGCTCCACCTCCATCACTCCCCCCAGCTCTGTAGGACCAGGGCTCTGTGGTAGGAGGAGAGAGAGTTGTTGATCCTGCTCTGCTTGCCAGGAGCCTTCCAGTTGGGCTTTTCTCAGGCTGGGCTTGCATGAAGGAGCCCTGGGGAAAAGGATTAGGGGATACATCCAGCCCAGGAACTTCCCATGATCTCCTGGAGGTGCTCAGCCCTGGCTGGAGCCAGTGAAGGGGTCCCTTTGGGAGGATGGTTGGACACCAGGTATCAGGATGTGAGGAGCAGAAGCTGCAGGAGTGCCCGTGCTTTATCATACCTATTGATTTGGATCTTACAACCCATTTAACAAGGCAACTCTCCCCAGCCTCTGGGTGTTCTGGACTTAATTAAGTCCCTTTTCTGCTCTTCTGTCAGACCTGGGGGTAGTGGAAGCTGGTGGCACATCCCTACCCTTTCCCCCCCACATCCCCAAGGGGGATGGGAGAAAGGGAAAGTGTCATCAAGGGTTATTAAGTCTCTATACTGGGGATAATCCCAATAGATAGGGAGTCATTGGCAATGCATCCCAACTGCTGCTGGGGCCAGGATTTGCAGCCAACCTGGAGCAGAAAGGGAGAGCAGGATGGGAAAAGGGGGTTGAAAGATCTTGGTTTGCTGATGGGAGATGGATTCTGCTGCTGGGGTATCCTAGGAAACCCAGGCTCCTTTCTGGAGGGGCAGGTTTGGTACCTGCTGCACCTTGGGGAGAAGGGGAGAGGAAGGAGAGTGCTAATTGCTCAACGCGCCAGAGAGCTGCTCTGGCCTGTAATTAGATGAATTAGTGGAACAATGACCCAATTTCCCTCAGTTTTTGGATTGCTGCAAACAGCTCTGAGGTTGCTGCCTCCCTCTGCCACGCTCTCCTCCCTGTCCCTCCCTTGCCCATCCCCTGCCTCCTCCACCTCCTCTTCCTCCTTGCCCAGCGCCCCAAAGACCAAGCCTGGATGGGAGAGGAGGCCACAAGCTCTGGCACTGCTGGTGTCCCCAAGCTGCATCATCCCTGTCCCCCCAGCAGCTATGGGGGTCCCAAGTGTTTATGCTGCCAGACTCAGTGTGCACCAGCTCCCTTTTGCCCTGATTTGTTTTCCAGGGATGGGCTAGAGAAAGAACCTTTGTGTTTCAAAAGAAAACCTCTGGAGTCCTTCTTGTGCCTGCTGGTTGCCCTCCAAGGTCATCACACTTTCATGACTATAGATTTTTGAACGCATGGGAGGTTCTTGACTTGTTCTTGGCAATCCCAGAGGTGGGACCTAAAGGGAAGTGTGTGTGTGAGAAAACCCAGAGCAGGTTGGAGGTGCTGCCAGGAGAGTCAGGGTGACTGTCAGGGGAGCGTGGGTGACCATCAAGAGGAGCAACCCGTGGCACCTGCCTGGAGGAGAGTGGAAAGCCATTCAGTTTTGATGAGCACCACGTCCCCAGCACTGTGGTGTGAGGCTGTCTCCAGCCATCCTGGCATGGGGGGCACTGGTGGGGGGGCTGCCAGGGCTGGGCAACCCCTGGGTGGTTTTGGATGGTGAGAACAGCTCATGAATTTTGATACCAGTATTGAACGGGGCTTGCTGGTGCGTGGTGTTTGGGAGGTGTGGAATCTCTGTATCTGCCCAAGGACGTGGTGCTCCTTGTGACTCCCCAAAGCCTGGTGTGAGGACACAGCTCCTGGCACTGGGGTGACTCTGCTCTCTCCCTGTCTGCCTTGCAGCATCCTGGCCACTGCTGGGACACACTTCAACACCCACGTGGACCTGCGGACGCTGCGGGCTGTGCGGGTGCTCAGACCTCTGAAGCTTGTCTCAGGCATCCCCAGTAAGTCTGGGTGCTCCTGGGCCCCCTCCTGGGGTGTCCTCATCTGTCCCTGATGCCCTTCAAAAGGACGAGGGTGTCCCAGTTGCCACCTTGGAGATGTAGGGTGGAACCAAGGAAGAGGGGGACAAACCTTCCCATGTAGTGGGGATCATACATGGCATCTTCCAGCCACCCTTGGGTGGCCTGCAGGGGAAGGGGCTGTAGGGTGGCAGCATTTGAAGTCCCCGGGTGGCATTTCACCCCATGCAGCTCTCTCTGTGCTGGCACAAGCTCAGCTTCCCCAGGCCAGAAGGTGGTGGGTGGATCCTTTCCGGACTGAGGTTTTTTCAGGGGAGGTTTTGGTGGTTATTTGGGTTTTGTTGTTGTTTTTTTTTTTCTCTCCCCCAAGTTTGAATCTGCTGGCAAGGGGATAAATATAGAAGCCAGGCTGCTGCTGGGGCTGGTGCTGCTGTCCCTTCCTGGCCTTGCTCTGCAGCCAGACCCCCTGCTCCCCTGGGACTGTGCTGCCCTCCGTGCTCCACACTGAGCTGTGCTCTTCTTTTCTCCTCCCAGGCCTGCAGATTGTGCTGAAATCCATCATGAAGGCCATGGTGCCTCTCCTCCAGATTGGCTTGCTGCTCTTCTTTGCCATCCTCATGTTTGCCATCATTGGCCTGGAGTTTTACAGCGGGAAGCTGCACCGAGCCTGCTACACAAACAATTCAGGTGGGGGAGAGAAAGGCTCTGCACCCACTTCCCATCCCTTGCCTGGGAAACAGACGGGATGAGCATGTGTTGCTGTTGTAGGAAGCTGAGAAGATCCTGTATTTTGCTTTCTGCAAACCAGGCATCACTTGGTGGCGTTCAGGGTGTCCCAGTTTCTTAGGGGAGCAGCTGGTGTGAAGCCAGGGCTGGTATCAGAGGGGTCCCCTGCTCTGGCTGCATTCAGGCTCTGCCCCTGGTCTGTCTCCTGCCTCTCTGGCTTGGTGTAGTGATCAGGGTGAGCCAAGAACCAGAGGACAGAGTCACTCTCTGTTACTCCTCTCCACCCTCCCCAGGGAAGGTAAAAAGGGGAATAAGAAGAGAGACTTAAAGTTTGGAAATGAAAACTGGAACAGGTTTACTGGGAATGGGAAACGGACAGTAACAGATGACATGAGGACCAGATGTAGACAAAACCTGATCTCAGTGCCCACAGATAGAAGTGTCTGAGGGTCCCTTGCAGCAGAGTCACCTCAGGAAAAGGGGTTCATGGCTTTTCCCAGCACCTGATGGATTCAGATCCTGCAGAGCACATGATGAGCTGATGAGAAAGCAGGAGCCTCTCCCCAAGATCTCTGAGCACAGCAAAGCAACAAGGAAGAAGGGAGAAGAAAGAGGGAGTCTTCCTGGCTTTTCTAGGCAGGAAATAGGAGGGAATCCTGAGCCCTCTCTGTTCTTCCCCCCTGGATCCCTTAGAGCCCTACAGACCCTCCCTCTAGGTCCTGGTATTGGTGCTGTAAAATCAGCCTGGCCCTTTCAAACCATGACACTCTTCTCACCCCCCTGCTGTGTGTGTGTCCAGGTGAGCTGGAGGAGCTGGAGCCCCCCCATCCCTGCGGGGTGCAGGGTTGCCCCCCGGGCTACGAGTGCCGGGAGTGGATCGGTCCCAACGACGGGATCACCCAGTTTGACAACATCCTCTTTGCTGTGCTGACCGTCTTCCAGTGCATCACCATGGAAGGGTGGACCACGGTCCTGTACAACGTGAGTACCTCTGCTCCAGGGCTCCTTTGGGCATCTCCTTTGGAGATGGAAATGGCATTTCTGTGCCCTGGGAACCGGTGAGAGGCTGAGTGGGCTTTGGGGTGGGGTCAGTCCTTCCCATTTGGGTGGGGGATTGATGCAAAGGGATCTCTAAGGGCTTTGGGCCTCATCTCTGGGCTGGGTGTGCAGAGAGCAAAGCCTCACTGGCAGGGGCCAGGAGAGGTGTCCCTGGGGAGCAGGATGTGGTTTCCTGGCACTGTGCATCACTCTCCTTGTGGCCCCAGCCTTGGGAAGCCCCAGAGGTGGGCTCAGACTCCCTTCCCTTTGTGGAGTGTCCTTCACTGGAGACATTCAAACCCCACCTGGATGCGTTCCTATGTGATGTACTCTAGGTGACCCTGCTCTGGCAGGGGGGGTTGGACTAGATGATCTTTCGAGGTCCCTTCCAACCCCTAGGATTCTATGATTCTATGAGTCTATGATTCCCCTGGGCAGGGGCAGCATTTTGGTGTCTGACATGGAGCAGAGACCTTTTGTACTCGTGTTGCAAATGCCTGTCAGTGCTGATGATGCTGGGCTGGGCTCCTGTGGTTTGCAGCCACTTGAAGCTGCTGATGCCAGAGCCTGTAGGGAACACAGGGAGCAGCCTGAGGGCAAAGCTGGGAGCAGGGAAAAATGCTCCAGGCAGTGACAAAGTGCAGTGTCATTGTGGGTGATTGGCCACGTATGTGAGTTTTAGTTAATGGGCTGGAAGTAACTGTGCCAGTTGTGTTCCCAGCCTCATCTCAGCATCAATTTTGGTGTCGTTGCGCCGGGAATGTTTTTATAGCCTGGTTCCCATCATGCCTGGAGAGGGGCAGTGCCCTGTGGGAAGCCAACTGGGAGGCTTGGGATGGCAAAACATGCTTTGCTAGTTGCTTTGCTGTTAGCAGAAAAGCTGGTTTTTAACACCAGGAGAGGAGACACTGCAGTGTGTGTTGGGGACCCCTCCTGCTTCCTCCATCCCAGGCTCCTTCTGGGGGTGCAGGGTGGTGTGCAGCACCATGAAACCCAACCCAGGGTCAAAAGGGTTGACCTTGCCAAGAGGATTTGGTTTTCCTTCTCCTAAAGGAGGTGGTGGTGTCAGGATCTTGACGCTTTGGTGGGGGGATTAGGCAGGATTGAAGTGCCTGAGAGTTCAGACTAAAAGAGCCCCCAACATTTCTTGGCCACTTCTGGCACACCAGTGAGATTAGAGATTTGACTACAGGGCCTGTTGCTCAGGTGTCATTGAGTTTAGCAGGAAAGGTGATTTTTTTTTCCTGCCTGGTGCTGTGGTTCCCCTGCCTTTAGCATGGCTGGGCAGATGCTGCTGGCTCACAACTGCTCTGCACGGTCCATGGAATTTGGCCTGCCATTTGGGATGTCCTCACTAAAGCTGGAGCTGATCTGCTCAGTGGCTGGGATTTGCTGATCCACCACCTGGATCTTAATGGGTGGGAAGGATGGGAGATGCTGCTGGGAGTGCTACAAACCACGTTCTAAAGGACCTACCTTCTGGGACCCCTACCATTGCTGCTGAGCTGGGGGCTCTCTGGGATGCTTGGGGTGAGGTCACATCCCTGGTATCCAAATAATCTTCCCAGCACCAGTCACAATGCCAGGAAAACATGCTCTGTCACAGTGTCCAGGACCAAAAGGTACCTCCCTTTCCCGCTCCTCTGCAAAGGACCTGCTATTACTTACTTACAATTGAAAGGATTAAGGACCTTCCTTGGATTCTAATGGGATAAGGATCTGGGCCTTGGTAGTAAAATGCAGCTGATTCACCTGGAGGGGCAATGAGGGATGGACAGTGTTCCCAGCACTGTTGGGTTGTGGCCCTCACCCTCCCCAGGGTTACCAGCTGGCTTGCAGGGTCTGTGGGTGCTCCCTCCTTGTGCTGCTGGGAGGCAGAAAAACATGGTTCTGCCTCTTTTTAAAAGAGGAAAAACCAGGTATGCACATGAGGGATGTGGTCCCTGAGGGATGCTGGAGGAGGGCTGGGCATTGGAATGCTCTACTGTCCCCTGTGTCACTTGGAGCAGCTCAGGAGAGCTGGCTCCTGCTCCTAACCAGCATGGACCTTGCCCAACACATGCCCCAGGTTTGGGGGGGGGGGGGATCAGCAGGGGAATCTCTGCTTCCCCACAGGAGAAAAGTGGTGGGAGGCTGTGTCCTGGCAGGTTAACACTGCAGCCTTGCAGAGGAGAGGGAGATGGCAGGGAAACCACTTCAGTTACCTCTCCAAGAAATTGCTTACTACAGTATTCCCACGTGGAACTGGATCGTGATTTGAAGAGCTGTTTTTCCACAGCTTTACTGAACCTAGAAGCACCAGAATTTGTAGAGAGCTTCACAAGAAGCTCATCAGCCCTGTCACGCTTGCCACGTGTCTTATTTTGTGGGTGCACTTCCCTTTCACATTGCTTTTGTGATCTCTTGCCCGTGTCAGACCCTGTCTTGCCAGGCAGAGAGCAAAGTATGGGCTAAAAAATAAAAATATACAGAAAAAAAATAATCAAAATCCTGCAGCTGTGGGGTGTCACAGGTTTTCCAGCCTCTGTTCCTGAAGGACTTTCACTTCCTTGAGTGGGATCCTCTGGCTGTCTCTGCAGTCCAAAACCAGGGCTAAGAAGTATTTAGCTTTTCCTGTCCTGGAGCAGGTGCCTCTTCCCTGGGCTGGCTTGAGACTAAACCTGATTTCTACTGAGACCAGAGGGAAAAATAATGCTGGCAAAGAGGCTTGCTGTCCTACTTCTCAGCCTCTGCAGGCTTTCTGGCACAGGGCAGGGGCCAGGGGGCAGTTTTGTCATTAAACTGTCACCCTGGGGTCTGGGAGGGGGTGGCAGGGCTGGGGAGGGGCTGCCAGGGTGTGTGACAGGCTGGGCTGGGCACGGTGTGCAGGTGGCTTTGGATGCTCAGCCTGGTGCAAGAGATGAGCTTAAAATGATGATTTTTCATACCAAAGGCCGACTGGAGAGGCTGTGTTTTTATTCAGTGGGATTGTTTATTGGCTTCACTGTTTGGGAGCACTGAGCTGCTGGGCTGGCAGGTAGCGAGGAGGAGCCCAACTCTCCTCTTCTCCCACACTGCCAGGAGCTGGGAGGGGAAGGAAAAAAACACCTGTGGCAAACACATGCTGGGGCTGTGGGCCAAACTGGTGGGCTCTGCAGGGAAAGGAGGGTCAGCCTGGCCTGGCCTGCTGGGTCCCTTGGAGTGGCCAGAACCAGGAACACCCTGTAAGCTGCACAAAGTACAACAAGCCCAAGAGCACATGGGTTGGGGCAAATACAAACACAGGCTGGGTGGAGAATGGACTGAGAGCAGCTCTGAGAAGGACCTGGGGGTGCTGGTTGGTGAGAAGCTGAACACGAGTGAGCAAGGTGCATTTGTAGCCCATCTTCTTTGAAATGGGGACTGAACTGGGGTTCTGGGAGGTGTGTGAAATCACTGACCATCCTGGAGCACTTGGACCAGAGGTGGGTCTGTGCCAGGTCCCCAGCTGCACCAGTGAATGGCCTTGAAGGGTCTGAGAGGAGGATTTGCTTTCACAACAGTTACTTTTCCATGTGTACATGTACAGAATCACTTGTTGCTTGTTGGCATGAATTCCCAGGGTGTCGTGGCTGTCCCTAGGGATGGTCAGCACTCAGCTGAGCTGCTCTTCCTGAGGTTTGAACAGCGTGAGCAGAACTTGAGCATGATGTAGGTCTGGGTGTGTTTCTTCACTTGCTTTTTGGAGAGTGAGGGCAGTGCCTGGCTTCTTGTGGGGCAGCAAAATTAATGACTTGACCAGAGAGGAGTTGGCTTCTGTTGAGGTTTTCAGACCTGAGACCAGCTGGGAAACCTCCCTGACCCTTGATGCACCCAAGAGCTGCTGCAGGTCCTTTGGGCATCAGTGCCTGTCCCCTGGGATCTCTGGTCCTGCTGCAGTGCCAGCCACCTGCCAAGGGACCTATGGACTCTGCAGTGAGATGCAAAAATTCCCCCAAAACAGCACCTGCCCTGACAGCACAGTGATGAGGAGAGCACTGGTACAGCTGTGGTCCCAGGGCTGGGCTCCTATGGGCACTGTGGAAGGTGAAGCTGGGAGTGTGATGGGCACCACTAACTCCAGTGCTGGCTCAGCTTCATCTCTGGGAAGAGGAAGAAGAAGAGGGAGTTGAGAAAGATGGAAAGAGAGAAACCAGTTGGCTTTTTAGCCCTTTTGTGCCCTGGGACATCACCAGGCTCTGGAGCTGGAATGCTTGCAAAGGGAAAAGGAGTCCCTTTGTGTGTGTTGGAAATTAAAACACAGCACAGGAAAAAAATACCCTGTCATGAAGGTATGAAAATTTAATCAACACCCAGAACTCTTAGCAGCTCAGTAGCAAGCACAGATCTTTAGTGCCTCTGCAGCTATTCCTGGCAACCCCTGGCCATGCAGGTGAAGCAGGGTGTGCTGGGGGGGGACACACAGGGGGTGCCAAAAAGCCCCTGGCACTCCTGGTGCTGCAGGACACAGCCCCATCCTGCTTCTTCCTACCCAATGGTAACTGCTGAGGGCTTTAAATGCAGTTCAGTTAGGACTTCAGAGAGAAGACTTCAAGTTCCACCCAGAAGATTTAAAACCTTCCTTAACTTTTTACAAAACAAGCCTTTTTTTCCCCCAAACAGCTCCCACTGGTGCCTGAGCCAGCAGCTCTGGTGCTGCCAGCCGTGGGTACTGGAGCCCGTCCCCGACGGGCACGTGCATGACAGCCAAGCCTGCTGTACCCTCCTATCCCTTGGGAAGCAGCATCCCTTCACATGGGTCTTCCTCTGCACTCAGCAGAGCCAGACCCTCAGCAGCTTGCCAAATGTTCCTGCCTTTTTTTTTTTCCTTCCCTTTCCCCCCCTCCTCTTTTTTCCTTCCCTTTTCTCCCTGCGTGTGTTTGTGCTGAAATGACACAGCAAGAAACAAACTGTGTCTGCTGGATCCTCAGCTTTGCAGGCATGTT